TATGAGAGTTAATTGTATTAAAGAATATTTCTATTTTATATTGGTAATCATTGTAAGATAAAAGTTGTAAAAACAAATGTGATACTGAATTCAAATTTTACATACTTGGGTTGATAAAAATTTTTGTTTAAAGTATATTATAATTTTTTTGTTTCCTGAAATTAAGTAGTATATTAAAATATTATCACACCACACAATTTGTTCAAAAGTTGAACCATTGTAAGAAAAACTAGCATTACTATTATAAATCCACAGCAGCTTTTATTTGTTCATTTTTTGAACAAAATTTTACAGTTAATATGGTTCTCTATAATAGTGACTGAATTTCACCTGTTGTGAAAAATCTTTCAAAAATTTTGAGTTTACTGCAATCATATTATATAAAAAAAAGGGCCAAAATAATGAATTTCTAATACAAGTAAAACTAACAGTCAGACATGGCCTAAGTACACAAGATCCTTGCCTTGCCGCATCCCAAAACAAGGCCCAATATAAAAAGAGAGCAAAAACTTAATGAAAATCACCCCTCCTGTTATCAAAACCGCAAAATAAAGCTTATCAACAACCACTTCTCTTTCTGTTTAAAGATAAGAATAGGAAATAAAAAAGGAATCATCATCATCATCATTGTTATCCAAGTATAACGGAGAGGAGCAACAGCAACAGTCGCCAAGCCACCTAGAGCAGTGCCGCTATCCGTGTCTATATACAAATGGTCGAAAGAGAGTGTTGCATATGTGTTTGCGTGTAGTGGTGTATGCCCGTGTGTACACATACTAATCCACCGGTGGACACGGTGCAAAGTGGCGGCGGCGGCGGCGGTAACAGTGGCAGCGGCAGCGGTGTCGGTGGCGGCTTGGCAGTAAAAATGGCGTCCGATAACGAAGCCTCCTGCGTGACTGACCCAAATTTTGCAGTGATTTGCTCGTTCCTCGAGTACTTTGGCAAAAGCTGTGGCCTCGACTACCCGGACATCGGCCGGCTCCAGGAGATGATCGAGAACGCCCAGGAAGGTCGGTACCTCTCTCTCAGCCCGTACATGCATCATTGCTGCCAGCCCCAGTGTGTGTCTTGTTTTTCTCTTTCTCTCTTGCTCAACACTTTTGTATCTTTCTCTTTCTTGCGCCTCCGCTTACACACCAGCTCTTTTCTCTCTTTCTATCCCCCTGTCCTTCTCTTTTTTTTTTTTTTTTTTTTTTTTTTTTTTTTTTTCCTCCGCGTTTTTTAAAACCCAAAGCTTTTTGCTTCCCCCTCAACGTTCGCGCCTTCATTTGAAAAAAAAAAAAAAAAATTTAAGTTGATCCTTTTTTATCCTTGTGACTACGCTCTCTTGTTTTTTACACTTTGGCGTACCTGTAGAGAAAAACTACGTAAAAGAGGAGNTTTTTTTTTTTTTTTTTTTTTTTTTTTTTTTTTTTTTTTTTTTTTTTTTTTCTTACTCTTCGCTTCGCAGCTCGAAACTATTTCACCCACATTAGGTTCGTTCGATTACGATAATCTCGGAGCAGTGCTCCAAAACGAACGCCTTCTGCTTACACCTTCCCGTCAACCATCCGTCAACAAACCAACATAACCTTCAATACGTGCTATACACACTGCACCCCCGTTTCTCCCCCTTCCACCTACACACTTTGGTATTTATAATTATTCACGCATGACTTACATATCTATCATTTACGAATATAGTACCGGATAAGGCTTCTCACAAGGTAAAAATGGATGACCGATTAATTAATAACAAACGTAATTATATCGAGACACGTGACCTCGGAAATGTTCGGATTCGCTCGGAGCTATTCGTCGAGTTCTTGCGCTTGCGCACGCGGGAAGTTTGCTCCGAAAAGTTTTTCGAACGCTCTCCGCGAGAGAGCACCAAAAAAACACTTTAAATCGAACAGACTTATTTAATAATTACACTCTCAAGTTACCTATTTATTTTACTTAATAGAAGACTTGTATGCTTATGTACACACTGCAAAGTCCTTCGTCCTTTCTTTTCCCAACATTTATCCCATTTCTATTATTTTTTCTTATTTTTGATCCTCACGGCTGATGTACACCTATTTAGGTGCGTGTATGTTTGCACACACCCAAAGCTCTCGCTCTTTCCCTCTCTAATCCCATCCGCGATCCGCGAGCGAGTTTTACCCATACATATATCTGTATATACTATTCTATTAGTTTCCTCTTTCTTTTCTTCTGTCCCTCATGTGCGCGCCTTTTTTCCTCGCACGCACTTGTACTAATTGTAGAAATAGGTATTAGCCGTTGTTGCTCTTCGCCTCCGTTTTCTCTATCGTCGCTCGTTCCGGAATGCATATGCTAGGTATTGTGAATGCCGGGTCGGCGGCGGCTTTTTATCCCAATCTTGAGAGAGAGTGCCTTAATCTAAGTGCACACACCTCGGGATAGGGAGCTCTCGGGGACTTGAGGGTAGTAACAACGAGAGAAACGAAGATGGCGTGATTGTTTGACAGATGGCTGGCTTTTTTCCTCATTTAGCCGTGTTTTCGTGCTCTCTCTCCGAGTACTTACATTACTTACTCCGAAACTTTAAAAGACAAGCCATCGGCACGTGACAGCTATCATCTGGAAATGCCACAGCAATGTTCTTTCTCGCTTTTCTTCTGTTTTCGGTTTCATTTTTCCGTTCGATTGAGATTTTTTTTTTTTTTTTTTTTTTTTTCAATTCAATGGCATGCTACAAATCCCTATTTGAAACGTTATGAATGAAAATTTGGTAATTCAATTAAGGACTGTAAATTTTGAAAGATTTAACGAGAAACCTAAAGTTCAAACAAATAATTATCGATTGTTTTATTTTTTTCAGTACCCCAAAAACTAATAGATTTACACATAAAACTACTTCGTAAAGCAAGAAAAAGTGTAAACTCAGATAGATGGGAGAAAGCACTTGTCAAATTTTGTCACACATATTCCAACCAAGATGGTTGGGAACTTGAACGTTTTGGGTACAAAAAGGCTCGAGTGGCCGTGAAACTACGCCTACTTAAGGTATACCATTGCTTTTTTTACTTATCAAAAGAATAAAAGTTTTCTTCTTGCTCAATTATAGCTATCACTAATGTTATTTCAGGCTCTATTGGAGGTACAATTTGATATGAATCAAAAGTTTAAAAATGAAATAAACAAACTGTCCTCCAGTGAATTGCGACTGGAACCGTTAGGACGTGATAAATCTGGCATGGTTTATTGGTGCCAGCTTGACGATGAATGCAACATTCGGGTCTATCGTGAAGACTTGGATGAAGAAAATTGGGAATTGATTGCTAAGTAAGTTTGTACGATGTAGTATCGTAATTTTTATTGGAATTCATTTATTAATAAAAAATGTACTTGTCGTGGTTGCAGAACTCGTGATGAGGTTGTTTCCTTAATAAACAACCTAACAGATGGTGAAATTGGTGCTATACCTATAAGTGAAGACAGTAACAGTCTTGAGACTTCAGAGAAGCCAACGATTGATACTGGTCAAGACGAGAATAGTATTGTTAATGGCGATGCCTTGGAATCTGAAAAACTGGAACAAATTGAGGGTGAAACTCTCAAAAACAATGTAACTGCTGAACTACCAGCTGATCAAGACAATGATGAAGAAGAAGAAGAGGAGGAAGAAGATGATGATGAGGAAGATGAAGAGGAAGAAAAAGAAGAAGAGGATGAAGAAGAAGAGAACGAAGAAGAAGAGGAAGAAGAGGAGGACGAAGAGGATGAAAAGGAAGAAGAGGAGCAGGAAGCCGAAACTGAAACTGTCAAAGAAAACCCAATGGAGGCTTCTGCAAAGCAGGAGCCTGAACTAGTTCAAGATTCTCCTCAAACGAGTGAAATAAAAAATGAACTTAAGACTGAGGTGCCGTACCAAGTAACGATAACCAAAGTTGAAGCACCTCGAAGTCTTGAACCCCTTCCTAAGAAGGAAGACAGAGAACCCGATCGAAAAAACATTTATATCAACACAAAGAACGGTGTAGCGATGGAAAGTGTTGTAGTGGGACCCAAGGCCATTGAAACGCCTGTTATTACAAGTTCACCTCTTAAACTTGTCAACATTTCCGAATTGAAACAGTCACCTGAGAAAAAACCAGAAGTGATTGGTGAGAAAAATTTTTAACATTTGATTTGCATCGAACACTTATAAAATTATGTGTTTTTTAAATATAAGTATTACGTTTTGTTTTGTTATCATTTTTATTTCATTTTAACTAAAAAAAAAAAAAAAAAAAATCACAGGGGCATTAATAAATAACAATATTATGGTTTATTCAGGTAAAATCGGAATGATCAATAATCTGCCATACACGACAACGATAGAACCGAGTATAGGTCACAACAAGCTACCTATTAAGCCAATTGATCAGCTTGCCGCTACTTTAAGTCGGAAACAATCTGAAAAGCAACATCATCTAGAAAAATCATCCAGCAAACTCGACAAAATTGCAGAGAATCTAGCCAAGGGCCAGGTAAGCATGCACAGCATCTTGAACGCGGGCAACGGTAGCCAAGACGAAGATCTCAGACTGCGTAACAATCATCAACGAGGCATTGATCTGTCAACGTCACCTCGAGGCTGGGAAATGGCTGGAGTTGGTGTTAGTGATCTTAGTGCTAGTAACATTAGACCTGTTGACTTTACTGGCATGGATTTGTCCAGCCGAAGGTCAAATAAAGAACTACCTTCACCGTCTACTGGTTACAGACCACAAGATTACCACCTTCAACAGCAACAAAGAGAGATGGATCTTAGCACAAGAAAAAGCTCGGTCAAGCTTCACCCTAATATGGTATGTCGATTATATTTTAATTTATTACGTAACTTGCCAATTTTTGTAATCACAAGTATTGATTGATAAAATTAATTTCAGGCTACATTTGATCCATCAGTATATGATCCACGTGCAATCATGATGCAAAACCATGCAATGGTTGCAGATCTGAGTAAAAGACAGATGCCCTACTCTGCCTACGAGCTTCCAACAAATCCGGGAGTACCTTACCTTCCACCCCGGCATTCTAAGAACATCGATACAATACCTCAACAGCAACGATTACCCAGTTATGCTATGCTACCTGATCCAAGTAAACTTACCCTGCGAAAACGACAATTGGAAGCTGAGAGCTTACAGGTAGCAGATATGCACAAGCGTTCGCGGCTTGATATTGTTCCTGGCTTGACAAATACGCTCAATCCTATTAAATTACAAGCACCTCAGCAAAGAATGGATTGGGGAAGAGGAGAAATAGTGGGTGAAGAAATCACAGAGCCCGTGATGATGGTCCATGGCCAAGGCTCGGGTAACGATTGCGATGCGGCTAACTTGATGGTCGAGGAGGCGATCGAAGAACCCGTTATGTTCGTCTATGGTGAAGGTTCAGGATCAGAGTGTGAAACAGGCAATCCAGCCGACGAGACGTCCACTGGCAAAGACGACGATAGCAACAAAGAAACCGAAGTCTGTAGTTCTGAAGTCAAGACCCCGAGTAAGCCTAAATTTAAACTAGGGGTGCAGGTCTTTGAGACAACGTCCACAACTGCAAGCCCTGCGAAACGATCTTCCAGGTGGGACGTCGGTGGACCTGCCACTGAAATAGCTGACATACCGGTTCCCGAGACAAATGAAGCAGAAAAAAGTGACACGACTACGTCACCACCCAAATTTTTCTTTGGACCCAACTGTGTATCTTACAATGCTTTGAAACCCAAAAACGTACAGCAACAGTTGGTGTCTAATACGAATGACACAGACTGCTTGGAAGAAAAGGAGGAAATCAAAGAGATGCACGAAAAAATGGTTCCTAAACATGTAGAGGAAGAGGGAAAGTCTTCCGATAGTGACGATGTTCAAGAACAAAAAAAATGTGATGTGAATGTTGAACAAAGTGAACACAAAGAAGAAAATGTAGTCAAAGAATTGACCAAAGCTTCGATTCCACTAGAAACTGAGAATGTAAAAGAGGCTGAGACTAAGATGGAGGCAGATGTAACATTTGTAAATGATGGAAAAGTTGAAAAATTAATCAAAGCTACAGAGGAAGATGATGCTCAAAATGAACTAAAAAATGAAGCCTTAATAGATGTACCGAGTTCTAGTGACGTTGCTCATGAAGAATCTTCGTCTGTTGATTCAAGTACTGATAAACTTGAAAAGAAAAAAGAACTGAGAGAAGAAAATAATGTACAGAGTAGTGAAAAATCTGTCCAATATGCGAAAATATCGACTCCATCAAATATTGAGAATGTTGAGAATCCTGGAAAAGAATCGGAAGAACAAGTCTCCAATACAACTGATGAAATTTTTCAAGTTGAAGAACCTTCGACAACGGAGGATCAAGCTGACTGCAAACCAAGTGGAGATTTTTCAGTTCCAACTGTACAAGAAGAACCTTCCTCTAGTGAAAAAATTGACGATCTGGATGAATTGAAAGACTTTACGGAAGTGTCAGAATCGTCTCGCGATAGTCCTGTTGGAGATCTCGAAGATGAGCTTGGTAAGACTCTGGCCGCGATCAACGAACTTGAAGAACCGTCATCTTCTCAACTGTTGAAAATATCCAATAGTTCTGAAGTTTCGCAAAGTAAAGAGACACCCAAAGACTATGTAGAAACTGGAATAACCAAACCAGATAGTAGCGAAGAAAAAAATCACGATCTAGAAGCTACCCTTGCAAGTATGGATGATGGTGCTATGAAATCTTTTGACGATTTCAACAAAGAAATTAGTGATTCGTCTGTGAGTGCCGAGGGCTGCTGCAAAAGTAGTAAACCTCAACGAATCATAGATGACGATAGCAGTAATTTATTTGACGAAGATGTATTTGAAACTAAAGAACAAATTGATTCAATTTCGAATCTTTTAACTTCTTTAGAGAAGGATGAAGACATTGCACCACATTTGCATAAAGAGTCGGATGTGCAACAATCGAGTCTTGTGTCAACATTAGGAGGACATATCAGTAAAATCGAGTCTAAGACAAAAACAGGTGATAGCAGCTCTAGTACACCTGAAACGGTGCATAGCGTTTCGGAAGATTTTAGCTTCCAACAACCAAGTTCTTCAGTGGAAAAGAATCAAAATGAATCCACTCAAAATATGGAAGAAAATTTTTGTGATGCTTCTGATGCTGAAAAAAATGTAGAAAGTATGGACACAAAAGAAGCTACTTCAAATGATACCATCGAAAATCTAGCATCAGAGCCAAATATGGAAAGTAAATTTTCATGTCATCCATTTCTAAGGCCTGATGACGAAGTTAGTGCTTCGGATAAGGCTGCAGAATGCACATCGACAAAAATAGATGATCCAGATATTACGAGTGAATTGGATAAAACAGACTACGAGTTGGAAGACACGTTGAAAATGGCAGAATCGTTTTCAGATTTCAACACTTCAAGACTGTGTGAGCCATCAAGATTTTTTATGTTTAACAAACACGATGAGACCATACAATCAGAAAAAATGGAAGAAAGTGTAATAGAAGATTCTAGCCTCGATCAACAACCATTGGTCAATACTGTGACTAAACAATGTGACGAAACAGACTTTATTTTTCCAAGACCTGCAGTGTCACAAAACTTTTCTCAAATTCCGAAAGAAAGTAGAGACGTTGGTAATGACGTTCCATCCTCTTCCGAAAAAAAATTAACCCCAGAGCCTGTCAAAGCCGAACCGAGTAATATCGATCTTGAAAAGATAGAGGATGAACCAGACAGCACAGAAAGCAAGATTGAAACAGATGTCCCAGACGATAAAAGAATGGATGATAATTTATCCGAGGTATCCAGCTTAATCGTCGAATGCTCGAGTATACAAGAAGATGATGATATCTCATTGACAGATCCAAACGATTCTATTCAAGCAGACGATCAATCTTGTGATTCAAATAAAGACGAGGATCTCGAGCCTCCACAAGATATCTCTATGGATGAAAATTTGCCAAGTGATGATGGGAAAATTGACGAAACATTTCAAGAATCGTCAAAGGTGGCGGTCTCAGAAATCGAAAACATAGATAATTCGGTAATAGAAAGGCTAGATGAAGATGCTGCAGGAAATGATTCCCTAAAAGAAGATAAAGTTTGTTCTCTAGACGAGGAAAGTAAGATTAGCAAAGAAAAAGTGATGGATGAGATTTCTGAAGACGAACCTGCAGTTTCTTCAACAAAACTAGAAACTGCAGAAGTATTTTCTAATGCACCTGTTGTTCAACAAGATATTGCTAAAACTCCAGAAAAGAGTACTAATATGGATGAAGAAAGGAAAGAAGAGAATGAAGAGGCTGTAACTGCTAATGATAATAAAAAGCAAGAAAGTGATAAAGCAATTGAATCAGGATATAAATCTTTGGTAGCTAACTATGACGACAGCGACTCTAACGAACTCGAGACCAACATCTTTGAGAGTGAAAATACCGAATGCATTGTTACTTTGAAAGGAGATGTCAAAAATGACATTGAGGCAAAACTTGCAGTTGATACTTTTTCGAAAACTGACGCTGCTGAAGTAGAAACCCCAATAGTTCCTACCCAATCGAAAGTCAATAAAGATGAAGCTCAATCGGCTTCTATTGCAGAAGATATTCCAGAAGAAGAGGTTGAGCAAAAAGTAGAAAGTCTCAATACACCCGGGGAAGATGACAAACTAACAGATGACGAAACGGATTCGCCAGTTGAAACAAATACAGACGTAGCAGAAAATACTGATAAAGATAGTGTTTTAGCAATAGAACCAGTTTGTGTTGAAAGTGTTTCAGAAATATACAGTGATGTAGTGCCAGAAAAAGTTGAGGCTGAAAAGTTTCCTATTACAATTGAAGTGAAAGAGCCCAGTGTCAATTTAGAAACAGACAGCGATGTAGTGCAAGAAAATGTAGAGGCTGTGAAGTTTTCCATTGCAACCGAAGAAGAAGAGCTCGGTGCCAATTTAGAAACGGTCAATGATTTAGTGGAAAAAAATATCGAGGCTGTAAAATCACCTATTTTAATCAAAGAAAAAGAGCCTAGTGCCGATTTTGAAATGGACAACGACGCAGTGCAAGAAAATATCGAGGCTGCAGGATTGCCCATTGCAATTGAAGAAAAAGAGCTCGGTATTGATTTGGATGAGAACAGTGATGTGATACACGAAAAAGTCGAGGCTGTTAAATTACCAACTGCAATGGAGGAAAAAGAAGATAGTGCCGATTTAGAAAAGGACAACGATCCACTTCCAGAAAATGCCGAGGCTGTTAAATCGCCAATAATAGCGGAAGAAAAAGGTGACAGAGACGATTTAGACGAGGACAGCGACGCAGTGCAAGAAAATGTTGAGGCTGTTAAGTCGCCAATAGTAGCGGCAGAAAAAGAGCCCAGTATCGATTCAGAAGTGGATAATGATACATTGCAAGATAATGTCAAAGCTCTTAAGTTGCCTATTGCAATTGAAGTTAACGAGCCCAACGTCGATTCAGATGAAGACCGTGATGTGGTACAAGAAAAAATCGAGACTGTTGAAACGCCTACAGTAGCGGACGATAAAGAACACAGTATCGATTCTGAAGTGGACAGTGACGAACTGCAAAAAAATGTTGAGACTGTTAAATTGCCCGCTGCAATTGAAGATAAAGAGTCTAATGTCGAACGAGATGAAGACCGTGATGGGGTACAAGAAAAAGTCGAGACTATTGAATCGCCTATAGTGGCGGACAATAAAGAACACAGTATCGATTCAGAAGTGGACAGTGAAAGGCTGCGAGAAAGTATCAAAGCTATTAAAACGCCAATTGTTGCGGAAGAAAAAGAACATAATGTCGATTCAGAAGAGGACAGCGATGGGGTACAAGAAAACGCTGAAGCTCTTGAATTGACAAAAGAAGTAGAAGAAAAGAAGCACCTTGATTTAAAAACTCCGAAAAAAGTAAGCTTGGTCAATCACGAAGTTGAGACCCCCGGTAAACTTGTAAACAGTTCTGAGTTAGTGACGAGTAATAGCCTTGAGCCTGTAAACGAAAAATCGAACATTGAAAGACTAGAAGATTTTGTTGTACAACAGGGAAGCGAAAAATCAAATTCTCCAAGCAAATTTAACATGAAACTCGATGTGGATAGTCCAATAGTCCAAATCTCGAAAAAGCGCCGTGAGGGAGATTTTTCAAAAGACATGTTGGATAATATTTACTATGAAAGCAAGCAACAATTCAACGAAATTATTCCTAACAATAAAGTCATTTCTGCATATCAAATGGAGACGACTATGCCTATACATTCCACAACCATGGATGATAAATTTGATAATTTCAAGTACAACGAAAAAATGGTAATAAATGAAATTAAAAATGAGGACAGATTTTCCACTGAGGTACCAATTGATTCCGGCATTAATCGTAAAGATGAAATTATGGATATTGAAAGCGCGTTTAGGAAAGATAGTATCAAAAGGCTACCATCAGACGATTTAGAAGACATACCACCGGCAAAACTAAAAGCATCCAAAACTGATGAGACTATTGATAAAACGTTACCCGAGATGTCGAAAGTAATGCCTATGGAAACTGAAGTGATACCACGCGAAGCGCTAAAAGAAGAAAATAAACGCTTGCCTGTTGATAAACTTACAGAAAACATCTCATTGACTTTGCCAGAAGTCAAAGAAGAAAATTTAAAGATCGAATCGCAGTTTTCAAACGAACCTAGTAAAAACTTTCCAGCTGTTGAGACAGAGGTCAAAGACAAAGAACATTTTCAGATTGAGCCACAGTCTTCAAGTGAACCTAGTGAAGACTTTGCTGCTTACAAGCCAGAGGTCAAGGAAGAAGATTATCTACAGACCGAGTCTCAGTCTTCAAAAGAACCTAATCGAGACTTAGCAGTTGATGAGCCAGAGGTCAAGGAAGAAGAAAAGTTCCAGACTGAGTCACAGCCTTTAAAAGAAATTAATAAAGATTCAATAGTCGAAAAGTCAGAACAAATGTTAGGGTCAAAAAGTGAGTTACCACCAACACTTGACTCTGCAGAAGTTGCTCCAGAAGAGTATTTGGGGCATGCACATTTGGACGAGCCTCCAATGACAATCACATGCGCGGATCAGCCAAAACCTCACGATGAGCATGTTCCTGTTCCTCTTGCGGTTGAATCAAAAATAACTGAAAAGCCTGTTAGTTTTCTGATTAAAGAACAAAAAGATGAAGAAAAAGAGAAAGAAGTAGATGAACCTGAGGATTTGACACCTGAAGACAGTTTGATACCGTCTGAGCCCAAAGATACGGAAATGCAGGTTTCAGAAGAGCCAAAAGATGCTCCTGTTGATGAATTGATCCAATCTCCAACAGTTACAGAACCAACGATGCCAATTGAGCCTACAAGTTCCGAAAAACAAGAAACATTTGAGTTTACACCGGAACAACCAGAGGTGAAAGCTGCAGCCATCCAACCACAAACGGTAGAACCTATGGCTTTGCCTCAAACATCTGAAATTCAGCCAATGGCAGTTCAAGAACATCCAATGGAGCCAGTCTTAGGTAAAGTAGTCGATTCTCAACCTCAAGAAGAAACGATGCAAACAAGCGAGCCTCTTCCTCCTTCTACACCTCTTCTAGAACAACTTGCAGTCTTCCGAGAAGAACGAATGCAAACAAGTGAGCTTCCAGCTGAGCAATATCTGGGGACGGAAAAATTCCCAGTGGATAGGCAAATGCTCCAAGCTCTCGTTGAAAAACCTCAGGAAGTAGAAGTAATTGTTTCCCCCTCGGAACATGTCAGTCTTGCCGAGCAGCAACCTCAATCGACTTTTGAACAAAAAATCGATGAACAAATGGACTCGGACGATTCGGCGGGCTGTGACAACGACGAAAGCATGTTCAACGCTCCACCAGCTGAGGAAGACGAGTCCGCGGAAGAAGTACTGCCGTCTTCAGTGGGTCAGATTCGCGTGAAAACCGTCTCTGAGCTCGTCGGTGTTGATGGAGGCTGGAAACTTGACTCGACAACAGAGTCTCCTCCTCCTCCACTCCCTCCAACTGCTGCGCTGTCCGAAGAATCGAGACTGACTCGACAGTCTCGAAAAAGACGCAACAGTGCCCAGGACTCGACTTCGGAAGATTGTGCCCCAACACAGGTTCAGACCGAAGAGGACGAGGCTGGTGGCAAGAGGTTGAAACTGAGGGCTAAGCGCTCGCCTGACATCGAGCTGCGAAAGAGTGTCGAAAAGAACAGAAAAATCAGTGCTAGTTCCGAAGACGACAGCAAAAGAGTGCCGACGACTTTGGATGAAGCTTCTCAGGAGGAGGAGGAGGTCTCGAAAGAGGAAGCTCAGAAAACAACACCGTCAGCGGTGTCGAGAAAAATCAGGGGTAGACCCAAAGGTCGCAAAAGGTCTAGAAAAGGGGGCAGGCCAAACAAGACGCCAAAAAAGACAAGCGAGCCAATCAGCGGCGACAACGCAGGTGCAGAAGCAGCTGACGAGTCAAATGACGTCACTACAGACGAGCCTCTTTCCAAATCTGAAAAACTCGATGCACCAGCCGACGAGGTTGCAGGCACACCAAAAACCACCGATGACAAAAAGAAGCAGCGCAAAAAGCGTAACATGTTGCTTGGTCTGGAAATCCCTCCCGAAGCTACCGACATGGGCGATTTGAGCGAGACACCCGTGCGTGCGTCCCGACGTATAGCTCAACTGCGCATAAGAAAAGAAGCTGAGGACAGCAAGCACCGCGAAGACGAGGTCCAAGAGGCTATCAGGAAACATAAAAAGGACAAGGGTGGTACCCACCACGAGAAGCCGCAGATAGAGTTTTCCGAAAAAAAGAAGCGCAAAAAGCAGCAGCAGCAAGAAAGCGAGGAGGACGCCGCGATGATGAGGGATCTGGAAAAAGAAGATGCCAAGTCGAAGAAGAAAAAGAAAAGGCGCAAAAAGAAGAAACTTGCCGCTAAATTCAACCACGACCACCCGTGGCAGAGTTCTTCCGGCTCTTCGACCTCGGACGAGAACGAGCGCGAGGAAGAGGATCTCGAAGAGGAAATCGAGAGCGACGGCGAGCGACTTGTCTTCAAGAGTGACCACGAGTTCTCGCCCGAGAGCGACCTCGAGAAGGACGACGACTTGGCTGAGCCTCTGCGTCGCGCGAGAACTGCCCAGAAGGCGGAAGAGGCAGCCGATACCGAGGCCGAAGACGAGTACGCGTGTCAAAAGTGTAGCAAAGCCGATCATCCAGAGTGGATTTTGCTCTGCGACAGTTGCGACAAGGGCTGGCATTGCTCGTGCCTGCGACCCGCACTCATGCTCATTCCAGAAGGAGACTGGTACTGTCCACCCTGTCAGCACAAGAGCCTCGTGGTGAAGCTACAAGAGAGCCTCAAGACACTCGATCAGATAACAAAAAAACACGAGAACGAGATTCTTAGGAAAAAGAGGCTCGCTTACGTGGGCATAAGCCTCGACAATGTGCTGCAGAAGAGCGAGGATGCCAGAAGCCGGGACGAGTCGAGCCAGGATGAGAACGAGGACGATTCGAGTGGACCGGGCTCGAGCAGTGGCTCCAGTTCCGAGGAAACTAGCAGTGACGAAAGTGAGCCCGTTTATCAGCTTAGGGAGAGAAGGTGTGCCAATACATCTTATAAATTCAATGAGTATGACGATATGATTAATGCTGCTATCAAGGATGAAGTTGATGCTGTGAGGGTATGTTGAAAACATTTTTACGCATTAAGCTTTTTATTTTATTTTTTTTTTTTTTATTTTAATTTTAATCGAAACTAAATGTTTTAATTTTTATTAGGATTACGATCGATTTCAGGGTGCTGGCAATCAAGGCCGTGGTAAAGACATCGCGACTATCGTGAATGCCGAAAAGGAAGAAAAAGCTCAATCCGAGGTTCTGAAACAACTTAAAGATGATGATCTTGATTATAAAGGTGAAAAGTCCGAGAAAGAAAGCGACGAGGACTACAAGATCGAAAAAGACGAGAACGTTGCTGATGAAGAAGAAGAAGATGATGATGGCCGAGCTGCCAGAGCAGCAAACAGGCAAAAGTTATTGGCGCGTAAAAAACACCGCAAGCTCAACAGCCTTGACATCAGCAGCGAGGAAGATGATCCGTACAGTGATGAGGACTTCAAAGGTACAAGTTCGGATGAAGAGGAGGAAGATCAGCTAAGCTCCTCCGATGACAGCGATATGGGTAGTAGGAGAAGAGGTAAAAAGGGAGGTTCAAGGCCTGTCAGAAGATCCACTAGGGCTAGAATGACGCGCTATGATGAGGACTTTAGTAAGTTTTTTTTTTTTTTTTTTTTTTTTTTTTTTTTTTTTTTTTTTCTAACAATGTGTTAAAAGTTAGATAATAAGATTTTAAAATATCAGACCTGATTGTATTTTAAAAGAATATTTTTTTCTTTAACTGTTTACAGTTATGAAATCGTTTAATACAGTTAATTATAAAAACTCTAATATTATGTACACATATACTCTAATATTATGTATTGTATAGTAAATAAAATAAAAAAAAAGAAAAGGTAATATCAATTATCAACCCTAAATATTTTTATTTTTTCTACTTAAATAGTGGAATACAATGTTTGTCATAAGTAGTCGCAGAACATCTACGTCCAGAAAATCGGTGCCAAAAGTGAAGCCAGCGAAAAAGAAAAAGAAAAGAAAACGTATTATCACTAACGAAAGTGACGATGAAGATGAATCAATACGATTTGGCGATATTCCTCAAGAAACGAGCGAGTCTGCTCAACAACCAGCTGAACCCGCACCAGTGGCTGTTGATCTTGCACCGATAGCACCTGAACTCGTTTCGCAGCAAGAATCGTCAGAAGTACCGAGTTTAAGCACAAACGACCCAATCAAGGATATTGAGATGGCAATGGATGAATCTACCCCTATGGAGCAAGCGGCACCGGTGCCTATGCAGGAGATTCCTGTGATACAGCAACCAGTTGCTGATCCTACTGCAATGGAATACAATGACGCATCTTTTAAAGCTGTGGATGTTAGGAGAAAAAAGGTCAGTGTACTGTTTAAATTTAACAACTATTAAAACAACCTTTTTAAAGGTACTTTTGGCATATAATAAATTCGAAATTTTTAGGACGGGCAGCCAAAACAAAAAAAAATACGAAGAAAGGTGATTTATGGACGAATCCCCGATGAAAATGAAACGGCCCAGGAAGAAACAACACTAGGAAGACGCACTCGTGGCAGAAAGATTAGTTATCTTGACGCCATGCCATCTGACAGTGATGAGGTAAGTGTTTAGTGTTACCGATTGTATTACAGACTATTAATTTTTTTTTTATAAAGCTGAAAAAATCCGATGTAAACACAAAATTGATCTTGTAAAATATGGAATTAAATCTTCTCAGACGTTTTATTCATTAATATTTTGCTCCCTAAATTCAAATTTTTGTTAAAATCATTCCCGATATTTCTTGTAAATTCATGAAAGAAGTATTGCTTTCTTCTCTAAAAGAAAACTTTATCATAGGATTAACATCCAGTTGAATTTAAAAAAAACAAATACTTACAGGAATTAAAAAAAGCTTTGAAAAAAACGGAAGAAACAGAGGAAGAATTTGTCGTTCATGACAATGAGGAAGTAATTGATGATGTTGAAAAAGACTCTGACTCTGGTAAGTTTATTAACTTGTATCAGTAAAATCTTTGAGTTTTTTTAATGGCATTTTTCCCATACTTTTTAGGAGATGTATACTCGCCCAAGCATCAATCCTTGCGAGCTAAAAATAAATCGCCAAAAATGCGCCGAGGAAAGAAAAGTCCTGGAGTCAAGAGGAAATCAGTATCGGAGGATGCACAGCCAAAACCGCGAAAAAAACCTGGTCCTAAACCAGGCACCAAACATAAGCCTAGAGCGAGTAAAGCCGGCGAAGATCTCCCTGGTATCGATCCAAGCAGCCTCATCAATGACGCCGAAATGTTGTCAAGTATGCAGGTTGACGATCCTCAAGGTGTTATAAGTGGTACTGTAACCGGAGAAGGTTAGCAAAAAGCTTTTTATTTTCGTAACTATTTAGTGTATTTTTTCGAGTTTTTAAAAACATTAAACTTATATTACTACTTCGTTTTCAACAATCTCTAAAATTATATTTTTAGGATCTTTGGCTGGTCTTGGACCACCGGAGCTCGAAGGTTTGGATGAAGGAGAGTTTGAACAAATGATGATGGAAGACGAAGAGTATGGCAGAAGACAGCTGGAAATGGCTGCCATTGAAATTGCCAAGAACAAAAAGAAAAAGGAAGAACGGGAAGCCAAAAAACTCGAAAAAGCACGACTGAAGGCCTTGGAAATTTTAGCAGCTGAACGTCAAGAGAGTATGAACATGGAAGGTACGGATGGCGAAGTACCAAAAAAGAAGAAACGTGGTCGGCGTAGTAAGGCTGAAATTCTCGCTGAGCAGATGCGCAGAGAGTCGTTAGGTTTGCCACCAGAACCAGTAAGCATGCCTGTGACGATAGGAGCGCCTCTCCTTCCTCTACCAACTTCGGATGTGGTGGCTGCTGCAATGCCTACAATGCCTACAATGCCTGCAATGCCTATTATGCCCAGCATGGATGCAGCCTCTGATCAGCGCATGATGGACAATCCTATGATGCCTATGATTCCTGGGGCAAGTTACAGCTAAATGATCTTTACGTTAATGTATAGCATCGTTTCCTCATGTCTCTTTTTTTTTTTCTTTTAGATGGAAAGTCAGCAACCACTATTCCATCCCGATGGTAGTCCACTAAAGCCAAAACGTCGTGGAAGAGGCAAGGGCAAAAAGACCCTGGCCATGGAAGCTGCAAAAGCAGCTGAATCAATGTCAAAAACTGGGATCATAGGCATAGGACCAGATGCGAATCCTGAAGAGATGCAGCCTAGCATAATGCCAACACCTGGGAGTAGTACATCAGGTTCCGCACCATCTACGCCTCCGGCTGGTGTTACATCTCAAGGTGGCCCATTACCACTTGGTAACCAACCCACAAATCCTCAAGCGGTCTACCCTGGTTCATTGCCACCTCAGCAACAGTCGTCGGTTATTACGAGGATGCTGCAGTCGCAACCCCCTGTGCCGAGTAGTCCACAGTCGTTTACGCAGGCAGCTGCAGCAATGGGGCACAAGTATTTTGGTGGTCCAAATACACCCGGACAAATGATGGTGGGACCTAGACCTGGTTATGACATGCAGAGCAGAGGTAAGCAAAAGACATTTCAAATTTAAGTTTATTTCGGTGGTGGAAAAACAGAAATCTATGTTGTCGATAAGCTTCAAATCGGTTCAACCGGTAATGTTACCGATCGTTGATACGATTCTACAACTGCGAATGAAAAAGAGAAAAAAACATCAAGCGTACGATGCTGGTAGACAAATAATGTCCGGGAGCACATGCCTCCGTGGCGCAATTGGCTAGCGCGTTCGGCTGTTAACCGAAAGGTTGGTGGTTCGAGCCCACCCGGGGGCGTTTTTTTTTTTTTTTTTCTATTATACAATTATGGCCGTTTATGAATAAAGTAAAGAATATTTTTTTCTTTAACTGTTTACAGTTATGAAATCGTTTAATACAGTTAATTATAAAAACTCTAATATTATGTACACATATACTCTAATATTATGTATTGTATAGTAAATAAAATAAAAAAATACTCCAAAATATTTTAATATTTTTACCATTGATGATAGAAAGTTACCATGTTATGACTAATGTTGTTTTTTTTATTTTTTTTCAAATTGCAGGACGAATCCCATCGCCGTACAGACAACCAGGTCAACAGGCCATGCCTCCACACTTTGCAGCAGTACGTTCTGGCACACCTCCAGGTATGCGTCTACGAGTACCTGGGCCACAGATGTACCACACACCACATCATCCGATGGATCCATCTCCGTCTGGTGGTGGTCCCATTTCCATCAACAGTCGTACAGGTGACCGTAGTTCACCACTCGGACCTGGACCTCCGGGACCTCCATCTATGATTCCACCCTCGGCTGGCAGTCCATTGGCCAAAGGGGGCCCTACGCCACCACCGCCGTATGTTCGTGGCGTCACACGCTTTGGCGACACAGGTCAGATGAATACCGCTCGACACCAGCTGCCACCTTTCACAAACGCCTCGCCTACCGGTGTAGTGGTAAATCACAATATGCAGCCCCAGCCCTCGCCCCCGACGAACCGGGCTGGTGCAGCCGGCAACTTTTCGCCGTACCATCCGCCTCCGCCTCCGAACTATCATTACGGCGCGTATCCACCCCCACCGCCAATGTCGACGGCTGACGATGCAGCGGCATACCAGAGCTCACCGTACTCTAGCTCAGCTGAGCAGCATTACTCGTCACCTGGCCTCGATGCCCAAGCCTCTGGCATTCAGGGACCACCACCACAGGCTCAGCCGTCCTCGCAAGCGGCACCGCCTCCACAGCAGCCACCGCAGTCTCAGGGCCAATCACAGGGCCCGTCGGGTCCTGGCCCGGTCGGTCCCCCTGGACATGCACACGCTCACCCTGGGCATCCGGGCCACCCTGAGGGACACCCTCATCCGCACCCCCATTCACATCCACATCCAGGTGGCAAATACGATGAGGAAGGAAGCGGCGAGTTTGGTGGTCTCGTCTCCTACTTTAGCAGTCAGCGCGAGGACGATCTAGAATCGTAGCATGAGTGAGATCCTGGTCAGCCGCAATTGTACGACTACTCGTTGAACCATTGAAGGACACAGGTGTCTCCGATTGTGTCTTTTCGCCCTGCTGGGCTGCTTTTCTGCTTGTCTTTTTCCCTCTAATGGACTTTATCTCGTCGTTTTCTCGTGCAAGAAAGACAACAGAGGTGGCTGATTTTTGTTTCTACTCTTGTGACTCTCTTTCAAATAACCGATAACGAAACAATTTTTTTCGGGGCAAGCAGCTATAAGCAAGTTATGAGTCAAAAGCGGATGACAGGATTTTTTAATGTCGCAAATTTTTTAATGATAATTATAGTGTTTTTTCATCTAATGTTTATTAATCGTGTACAAAATATTTTTGATCTTAGGCATATTGTCGCCTATGCGTTTCAATTCGTCCCTATAAATCGACGATTATAATTACAGTGAGTGACTGTTTTTTCTGCATTACTGCATAACGATCTCACAAAGTTGTACAGTGCGTCATAACGCTCTTGCGTTTCCTCGGTAAAACGAAGATTATCAAGAGGAATTATGAAAACAAAAGTGATCATTTGACCCGGTTTTCAATGAGATCAGGAACACTTACACGTCCCATCCTCGAATTCTGATATAGTTTTTTACAAATAAGCGTTTGACATAATGTGACGATTGTTTCTTTACAAATACCCACGTACACATGCGTTTCAGAACATATTTTTATCGTCAAGGGTGCACGTCGCCTTAGCGAAAAAAAAAAAATCAAAAAAAAAACAAAAGGGAACTAGACAATGGTATCTATNAGTGAGCCTATCGTAGCTCGACACTGTCTGGATAGAGGTCACGTGGTCTCGTCGCATTTCCCGATATAAAAAGAGGTGAAGTACTTTCTGAGACACTTCAACGATCGTCGATTGTCAACCGCACAGTAAGTACTCAATACACACGTATTAAATTAATTTAAACGTGCAGTGCATTATACTTTCTTTTTAAAAAAATGACGTCGATGTTTTTTTTTTTTTTTTTTTTTTTCCATCACTTACTTATGATAAATCCTCTTTAAGAGATCGCATGAAAATAATTTTTTTGAGCTGGTATCAGCATATTTGAAATCTAATCTACGTTTCTTCTTGGGACAAAAGCTGGCAAAGGGGATTACAAGCAAATCTGAGTGCTTTTAATTTGTGATTGTCATAAATTTTACTCCTTCATTTTTTTGTTTATTTGTAGGCAATATTTGTCTTGCTACACGTACAAAATAATAGTCATTGATAATTTAATTGTTTGAAAACAATGATCCATCCAAGTGATAAGTGCGTTATTTAACCGCTTTAAACTTTGAAATTTGATTAGCCAATATCATTGCATTGACTGACGTGTGCTGACTGACAACTGTTATTGATTTCTCTATGAAGCGGAAAAAGCACAAACGAATGTACGAGATAGAAAAATGAAGAGTTGCTTCCAAGTGTTGAAAGACATGATATTGCAAAAAGATATTGTCTAGTAAATCCTTTACCAGTTGACGGGATATTTTATTTTTATTTTAGTAAGGATGTGTAATGTTGAACTACGAATCTAAGTATCGAGAAAATTCTTCAACAAGGCGCCGTTTTTCTTTTTCTTCTTTTTTTTTTTCAAGCGCTTGTATATATGTAAATACAATGCAGTAAGTCCTCTAGATTATATATTATGTATATGTATTGTATACATGCAGTCAAGCAAAGTAAGAAAGATATTTGTTAAGGAAACTAAAAAAATTAAAATTACCGTGTAATGCGTTATATAGTGCAACGGGCACAAATGTAATATGAAAATAAAAATAAGGGAAAAGCGACAGTTACAAGAAACAAGACTTTTTAAGTGGAATGTTTAAGCTGTAAGACGAAAAAAGTCGATGTGGTGTACGACCGGTGTTAAATATCTACGGCGATTGATTATTGCTATACGTATAAAAAATAATAATTTACATAAAAATGGTGTGAAAACTACTAATTATTTATGATAAAATAAAGCTAAAGTGAAGATTTTAAAATATCAGACCTGATTGTATTTTACAAATTTTTATTGATATATTACGAGCGAGAGTTAAATATATTATTCAAATTATTGAAATGTAGGGTCACAGAAAGATTGATTGAGAGAGAAAGGGGGAGGGAGAGAAAAAAAATGAGTGTATGCTAGAAAAAAATAGTTAAAAATATCGAATGAAATTCGCGATGATTAAAAAAAAAGCGAGTTGTGCAATATTGCCGCTATTATTCACTTTTTGTCGACGGCTACGTTATAAAAAAATTAATCACATTATTATCGAATCAATCACAAAAATGAACGTTAATTTTTTAATGCATAATGGATTCAAGTATTAATTATTTTCATTTATCAGATAAGATATTGTTATCCAGAATTTTCTCTTACTAATATTTTTAATAAAAAAAAAGTTCTGAAATGTTTTTCTTACAATTATAGTCTCTAAAATCTGATGAATGAAAATATATTGGCATTATGCATTAAAGAAATTTGTATAAAAATTGTATACTGAGAAGACTAAATTTATGCATGTGAGGCACGATTACTACATCAGTCACCAGAGTGTTTAATAACAAAATTATTAATTTTTTTGTGTTAAAAAGAAAAGTTTTTTTTCCGCTCGCAAGCATCAAAAATGTAATAAAGTCGTTGATTAAAAGTGATGTGCTTTGAAACGATGAAATTAAACGTGCATGGCTCTCTCATGATGTTCGACTATCTGTGAGCCTTTGTTTTTTTTTTTTTTTTGAATAATGTTAAAATCATAATGTTACGTCGCAGATGTTTTGTATGAAAATATGAAAAAATCGTGTGAATGTTTTAGTTTATAAACGCGTAACATACCTAATATAAATAATAGAGACTATATAAATAAATAAATATATAT